CAGCCAAGTGAGAACCGGAACACTACCAAGAGCATGAACTTGACAAGATAAGAGTGAAAGCACAAGCATATGAGAAGTTGAACAGCCAAGTAAAAAAGCGGAACACTACTAAGAGTATGAACTTGACAAGATGAGAGTGAAAGCACAAGCACATGGGAAGTTGAACAGCCAAGTGAGAACCGGAACACTACCAAGAGCATGACTTGACAAGATGAGAATGAAAGCACAAACACATGGAAGTTGAACAGCTAGGTGAGAACCGAAACACCACCAAGAGCATGAACTTGGCAAGATGAGAGCGTGAGTAGTAAAAGCCCAAGCATATGAGAAGTTAAACAACCAAGCGAGAACCGGAACACTACTAAGAGCACGAACTTGACAAGGTGAAAGCATGAGTAGTGAAAGCACCAACACATGAGAAGTTTAACAGCTAAGTAAGAACCGGAACATTACTAAGAGCATGAACTTCACACGATTAAGAGCACAAGCACATGAGAAGTTGAACATCTAAATGAGAACCGAAAAACTACTAAGAGCATGAACTTGACAAGATTAAAAGCACAAGCACATGAGAAGTTGAACAGCCAAGTGAGAACCGGAATATACTAAGAGCATGAACTTGACAAGATGAAAGCACAAGCACATGAGAAGTTAAACAACCAAGTGAGAACCGGAACACTGCTTAAGAGCACGAAATAGACGAGATGAGAATGAGTAGTGAAAGCACCAGCACATGAGAAGTTTGAATAGCCAAGTGAGAACCGGAACACTACTAAGAGTATGAACTTGACAAGATGAGAGTGAAAGCACAAGCACATGAGAAGTTGAACAGCCAAGTGAGAACCGGAACACTACGAAGAGCATGACTTGACAAGATGAAAATGAAAGCACAAACACATAGGAAGTTGAATACCCAGGTGAGAACCGAAACACCAACAAGAGCATGAACTTGGCAAGATGAGAGCGTGAGTAGTAAAAGCCCAAGCATATGAGAAGTTGAACAACCAAGCAAGAACCAGAACACTACTAAGAGCACGAAGTTGACAACGTGAAAGCATGAGTAGTGAACGCACCAACACATGAGAAGTTGAACAGCTAAGTAAGAACCGGAACATTACTAAGAGCATGAACTTCACACGATTAAGAGCACAAGCACATGAGCAGTTGAACATCTAAATGATAACCGGAACAATACTTAGAGCATGAACTTGACAAGATTGAAAGCACAAGCACATGAGAAGTTGAACAGCTAAGTGAAAACCGGAATATACTAAGAGTATGAACTTGACAAGATGAAAGCACAAGCACATGAGAAGTTGAACAGCCAAGTGAGAACCGGAACACTGCTTAAGAGCACGAAATAGACAAGACAAGCACATGAGAAGTTGAACAGCCAAGTGAGAACCGGAACACTACGAAGAGCATGACTTGACAAGATGAAAATAAAAGCACAAACACATGGGAAGTTGAATAGCTAGGTGAGAACCGAAACACCAACAAGAGCATGAACTTGGCAAGATGAGAGCGTGAATAGTAAAAGCCCAAGCATATGAGAAGTTGAACAACCAAGCAAGAACCGGAATACTACTAAGAGCACGAACTTGACAAGGTGAAAGCATGAGTACTGAAAGCACCGACACATGAGAAGTTGAACAGCTAAGTTAGAACCGGAACATTACTAAGAGCATGAACTTTACACGATTAATAGCACAAGCACATGAGAAGTTGAACATCTAAATGATAACCGGAACACTAATAAGAGCATGAACTTGACAAGATTAAAAGCACAAGCACATGAGAAGTTGAACAGCTAAGTGAGAACCCGAATATACTAAGAGCATGAACTTGACAAGATGAAAGCGCAAGCACATAAGAAGTTGAACAGCTAAGTGAGAACCGGAACACTGCTTAAGAGCACGAAATAGACAAGATGAGAATGAGTAGTGAAAGCACCAGCACATAAAAAGTTTGAACAGCCAAGTGAGAACCGAACACTACTAAGAGTATGAACTTGACAAGATGAGAGTGAAAGCACAAACACATGAGAAGTTGAACAGCCAAGTGAGAACCTGAACACTACCAAGAGCATGAACTTGACAAGATGAGAGTCAAAGCACAAGCACATGGGAAGTTGAACAGCCAAATGAGAACCGAAACACTATCAAGAGCATGAACTTGACAACCTGAGAGTGAGAGTGGTGAAAGCACAAACACATGAGAAATTGAACAACCAAATGAGACCCGGAACTCTACCAAGAGCATGAACTTCACAAGATGAGAGTTAGAGTA